ATTTCTCCTTATTGAGCGGAACTGAAATCAAAGTATTTTTATTCTGCATGAAAATTTAGTGTCATTTATGAAGTATTACATATCTAACTTGTAATTCATCATCATCATTAAGGATCCAGTCTTTCTTTTTTTAATCAAGATCGAGGGATATGTTTTGTTAATCTCTCTAACAGCTATATAACTAATACAGGTAAACTTTGGTATCTCGACATCGGATATGTCGACAACCTGGGATATGTCGAATTCCGTCCGTGGTCCCGGCATTATTTAAACTCTGATATGTCAACCTCGGTAATGTCGACTACCCCGCTTATCTCGACGTATTTCACAGTCCCAAGAGCAAAATTTACCTGGTATATGTCGACATCGGGGCAATTTTCTGCTCTACTTAACCTAATTGTTTGTCAGGTGGTCGCTCGTCATGCACGGACGACTCCGTGTATCTCGACGTCGTCAGAAATTCACACCTTTCACATCCATGTTTTGACTACATACTGCTCTGTAGAAATGTGTTTGTAGAGGAATCCCAAGCCCCCTCGGCGTCACTTATACCTTAATTGTTTAATGTTCAACTTGGGTAATATCTTGGATGAATCTTCTCGATTCTGCGTAAATGTACAACCGTTTATTTATGTCAAAATCTAACAAAACTTAAACATTTTGTAAAAAAAGTAACTGAATAACAATGAAAAATATACACATTGAATTCAATTTAACTTAAAAATTGTGGTAAAAATGCAGTCAACAAGAATCAATCAAATCAATGTCATGCACGACTATTGCATCAGCCGTAATATGGATGCATATGTAACATCATTAAGTTTGTTAAATGTGCAATTGAATTCCAATTAAATTTTGGTTTGAAAATGAAATGAAAATTAATGATGAATGATTATGAAATGAAAAAGAATTGAAATGAAATAATTAAAAAAATATACGCATTAATTTTTTCCCGTATCTCGGAAGTCAACTTTGTACCGTTCCGGCTCTGTAGAGTATATAGAGCGCATTTCATATCCTGTTCTGACAGAGCTAGTGGCTCGCGGATCGAATGCTGTATGGAAAACGATTTTCAGTAAATTAAAATGAGAAGATTTCGATAAAAAAGAAAGTATTTCATAAATAACATTTGTGAATATATTATCTTCTTAGATTTTCTAATAAATATAGTGGGATAGCAGAAACAAATGAGCTACAATCTAATTGAAGTCATATAAGTACCTGTTACAGTAGTTAAGGACGTCGAGTTTCAACTCTGATATCTCGACACCTCGGATATCTCGACATTTTCCGACTGTCTCATCGATGTCGAGATAACAAAGTTTACCTGTATCTGTATTTATCTAAAAAATTAATCATTACTGTATACAGGGTTATTTTCGCCCCGTCTTATTTTCGCCCTTTTACACTTGCAAACATTTTTGCCCCATTTTTAATTCGCCCATTCATAGTTTTGTTAAAAAAATTATACTGTATTCTTTGAATTCGCCCCCTTTAAATTCACCCAAATGAGAGTAGGGCGAAAGGGGCGAAAATTAAACGGGGGCGAAAATTTCCCTGTATATACAGTATATTGTGAAAAAGTATGCGAGGATTTGTATTAATTCAAAGGGCCAATTTCACATTTGAAACATAGGCAAATTTTGCCTCATTAATTTGCCTCACTGTCAATAAAATTTAAAAGTAACAAATAATATACCCTTGAGGCAACGTTCTCAATTAAATTACCATTTTTTCAGCGGTTTGTCGTAGCTCTCTGAAATCTTTCTCCAGGGAGTAGTTTTTGTTCACCTCCCCCTTTTGAACACTTCCGATGTGGAGAGGTAGCAAATACTTCTGTACTTGATCTAAATCATTGTGGAAAGCCCGAAAAGCGTCCTGAAATATTCAAAACAATTTGTAAGATTCTGTGAATTTATAACTCATTTTTACTGACACTTAAACAAGTCACAGAAACTTAAGCAGACCAATGTCTGTTTAATTCATGAAAGTTAAAAGAAAAGATCAATCTTTGAGAAATAGTTAGATTATGTCAGAATCACTTAAGAATTTAAAACTGTAAAAAGTTACCATAACAGATATCAGACAAATTGTCCTTAAGGAAAGCTCTCCTATGAGTATGCTTTTGGCTAATGTGAGCTAGAAATGATATTATTTCTTAAACTATGAATTGTGGTTAAATGTGTATATGATCAAACTGAATACAGAATAGATGTGGTACATGTATTTGTATATATGCAGAAACTACCCAACAGGCATGCAACTTTTTTACCTAATTTGGTAGAAATACATGTATATTTTTTTATCAAAGAATCACCTGTAAGGCCTTGGAAACACAAACAATTCTTTATCAATATGGAATTATGTAAAAGATCGATTGACCTTGGATTACCTGAAACATGAACGAAACATGTAGTTTTGTAACAGAGGGTCACCAGTTCAGGCCTGTCTATTAAAGACCCCGTTATAATACATGGAAAAAAAAAATTAAATCTGATCAGTGGAATAAGGTCAATAATTGGTTTCATAACTCTCTGGAGATTTAAAAGGTTAACACTTTCAATGCTAGTGTGGACGTACTTAAGATATTAACTAAATAGTCGAACTGGAATACATGTATAAGCTTACAAGCATTCCAAAAATCAATTCTAACGATTAATTAGCAGCAATAAAGTAGACTTCTACTATATATCCTGTTTACTTTTCATTAAGTTTTTGAAAACAAGGACTATGATTCCAATGGAATACCAATTTCACGTCTCAAACATAATAAACAATTAATGCATTACATGGACCTTTTTGTGTAATTATTTTTGATATGCTTGTAGTGGGATATGTGAATACAATTTTTATCTCAGTTTAAACTTTGAAGTGTTGCTGACATGTCATTAAGATGTTCCAGTAATATCCTAACTTGATCATAGAAAATATTATATGCATCCATTAAACTTGATGACATTATCCTGATTATCTATTGCTAATTAATTAATAGTTGATCAGATGTGAAATATAATTTATTCACTTTTAAATACATGTAGTTATCTGTACATGTCAGTGCTTACTACTTCTGATGTCTTGTAATATCTCTATGATGGGTACATTTCATATCTAGGCGTATATTCTTGTTTATCTTCATATTTGGTTTGAGTTCCCTATGAAGACAGCACATTCAGAAGGACACAAAATAACAACATACTTTGGTCACCAAGAAATCCGTTCTCTGTAATGTGGTATACACGTTAGACTGAGTGATAACATAAAGTAACACCCTCAGTATACGATGAACCTGTGTATGTGAAATATTGCAATAAAATTGGATATCTGTCCTCATTTTTAACCTGTCTTCTATTCTGCCCATCTACGATTAATTACCATCAGTAATTACTCAATAATTACACAAAGGTATGGCCCATCTTCTCTCATAACTCCCAATAATACCTAAACACAAAATCTGATATACCCTGTCATCATGGTAATGTATCAAAAATACCCTGCTCGTTCTTATGAAACCCCATACATATACGGTTGATGCTCCCCAGTATTACCCCATCATTTACTTACGGTGGCGTCTTGTCCCGCATAATGCCCGATGACCTTGGAGCCCCCGGGGTGGCGCCTGGACCAATCTGTGATGTTATAGACTTCATTATTGATGATGATCCATCGGTCATCTCGCTTGTCATGTTTGGCCACTTCCTGACAGGAAAAGCTACCCAGCTGCTTCCGACCTCCTTTCCCCATATTGGCGCCTGTTTTCTACCTTACAAAGCTACCAGCAAATACCTGGAATTATTAGAATTAAACTATTATTACATTCTACGACATGAAGTCTAGATGACGTAATGAGCTTAATGTATGGGAGGTGATCTTGAGAACAAATTAGATTTTATTAATTAAATCAATGACCAGATTTCACCTACTATGACTTAAGTTTCAAAAAATTCATTTTGAAGTTCATCTATATCTTCAGATCATTATATGTAACTAGAATGTCTGTTATTTTGATATAATTTGAAAGGCCATGCTTAAACATTCTGATCAATCAATATATAGGTCTAGAAATAAGAAACACAATGTCCTTGTATTTCCTGTCACACTGGAGCTTGTCCAGTGAAAAGAATTTAATAAGCAAATTAAAGGACAAATAAATATAATAAAATATGTATACAGTGTTCTCCCTTTACTTCAAAGTAAAGGGTTAGAGATAAGTTGTAACAGGCTAGGGGCTGAGGTTTATGAACAAAATCTCTGTGGACCTAACAACAAATTTTTATTTCAAAGCGGCATTTTTATTAATTGAAACGGTCAATTTGGCCGGTAGTCGGTTGTTAGGGAAAACACTGTGTACATACACACATACATAATATATATGTACCCTTTTTTCACTAAAAAATACAGTATTTTTTTTATTCTTCCATTATAGTAAAAAGTCATGCACCTTAGACTAAACAAAAATTCCATCACCTATTGATCCTATGTAGAATGTTTGGTTTAAATTTGTCCAGTTGTTCCGAAGAAATAGAAAATTATAAAAATAATGCTCTCTGAACATTGACAATTTTAAAAACAGAAAGCAATGCAAATAAAGATCAGCTCAGTGACTCAAGATCACCCAAGGTAATTCTTCACCTTTACACCAGGTATAATCAGGTATATGAAGAGATTCATGCTTTCCCGATTTCTTGATTGTCCAATTTCAAAATGCCAGCATGATCGCTCAAACATAAACTATTTCAATGAAGATCACACACATATATATGCTAATAAATGATAAGAGCTTTGCTATAAACAAGTTTATTGTTATCATACTTTTTATATATGGATTAAGATTGTAATTTGATCATGATTTAATTTTTGACACCTTCAGAGAAATTCAAGTGAGGATTTCTTTAATGTGGCATATAAATTTTTTTTTTCTTAAAATGTATACATTTGTAGCTACTAAAGTAACTTTAAAGGGGTTCAGATTTCTTGCAATATCACTCTAGAATTTAGAATATACCTCAGATGCATAAAATACTTGATTATAAGGTGACTGCTTAAATATGTCATTGTACAACAAGAATTAAGCAATAAAACTTTTATACAATAAAATATCTTCATAATCAAAAGATTGAAAAGAGAGTTCACACTGCATGGCCTTGAAACTTGTGTTTCTTTTACCATCGGTAATAAACAACTGCCACATGTTGATCTGACATGTTGTGCATCATGCGCAATATAAAGTCCACAAAAGGCAATGTTCCAGATCACCTTCTGGTAATTAAACATAAACTGATTAACAGAAGGTTTAAATTTTAGATCTCTAATCAGCTTTACATAAAATAATTGTTTTATATATCTCCCCTTATGTGACAATATCACACAATCTTATCTAACCCCAAAGCCCAAAAGGAAATCTTCAACATAACAACTTGGTAAACAAGGCTTTTTATGCATTTTACATACAGTTAAATTTACCTAACAATTTTATTTTTATCATTTTTGCTTTTCGTAAATATCTTTCTTTGAGAATTTTTCATTTACGCATGCAGTATATTAAGATGCCACCACTTGTCGATAGAGGCTGCAAATTTAGACCTGGCATTTATGCCTTTAGACAGTACATGTATTTTAATAGGGATTATTTTAGTGGCAGGATATACTGCAACAAGGGACTTTAGTTTGTATGATTTCATCCAAAGGACTGCTCTCCATGTCCAGTAGCAATTTTAATCTGTGACGTAAGGATCAACTCCCTACTCTGCCACTCTCAAACCCGACTGCGCCATGGTGAAGTTATCAATGCCTGTATAGATACATGTATCTAGATGAATACATGAAATATTATATATATATCAATCTAATACGTAATTCAAGTAGCAGTTGTTAAAAAATCTCTGGATTTAAGAATAATACTTTAAATAGTAGTTGTCATGAGTTTTTTTTTCTATAATAAACATACTTTATGCTCACAAGGACAACAAATACAGTTTCCTTTAAACACATAATGTCATAAAAAATTACCCAGTGAAAAAAAATGCTTTTTTGCTTGCTAATATATAAATAAACAGTGTATTTGGGGAATTTCATGCATGTTTGAGATATTATTAACACCAACAATATTCATTGTTATAATGAATTGAAAAGGATATGTTTGTTCGATCAGTATACCACAATTACATGCATAAGATCTCTATTTATAAGCAATAATCAATGACATTAGAACAATGACAAAATTCTGAATCAGGGTGTACTTTGTGTACATGTCTAGTACATGAATTTCATTCTTACTTGTCATTCATGAATATGTACGTCTACAATTAACACATGAAAATATTCAATGTAGCATATAATTGGTTTATTCATGATACTGGAACCAGTAATTTTTTCAGCTTTTGCAAAAAATAAAAAATATTATTTTCGCTACTAAATGACCCCCATAATTCATCTCTCATATGCACAAGTTTCATAGGGTATTCTTAACCAGCATTTCCCTCATTTAGTGTCTGAATGATCGACAGGCTGAATCTATAAGAAAATTCTGATTGACAACCAAAACGCTGACAGCTAAACTTTACTTCATTTTCTGACCTGAATTATTTTTATCATGACTTTGCATTAAGTTTTAGTGTCATGTATTTGTTTTAAAAATCATTTCTCCCAATGAAAAGTGTCAATATTAGTTTGTTGTTAAGGGCGTTCTCGATTTCTACAAATCTTTTTATAATTGTTCAGGTGTGATCCATTAAAAGTGTAGCATTTATACTTACAAGCTAGTACTGGGTACAAGATCTCATTGTTAAGCGGAAACTAAACTCACACTATACTTTTTCACCGGTTACAAAATCACTCCACTGTGGCCTGATCCAGTACACATGCACTCCCAATCAAATTTATGCAACTCCGTGACAACGGGCACAGTTTCCCTTGAAGTTAGGTTTAAAAACAATAGTGGCTATTTTCTAAGTTTAATAGAGTAAATGTGTTGTCTTGACCAACAAAGTCCAACAGAAAAAAAATATGCATGCTCCTTTCACACTTACCCATTCATCTGTCACCCACACACCGGTATGTTCGGCACTCATGCGCACCTGCGTTAGAGCAACACCGAGCCCGATCGAAACTAGCCCATATCTAATGTACGTATTTGTTATATTCTATTATATAGGTCCCTATATATGTATATATAAAGTAATCATTTGACCTCCTGGGCCCTGTATGCTATACGTACCTGATTTTGTTTTTAAAAGTAGTGGGGGAGGGGGGGGGGGGTTAGACTCTTGTAGCCAAGATTTTTTTCCAGGTAAAATGTAACCACACACCCACCTCCTTCAACCTTAAAAAACGCTGCTAAATGAAATAATATCCAAACAAGATGATGTCTTTACAGAAAATTACTCATTTGAATGAGACGCATTTATCACTGTTTATTAATAGCTGGTTATTTTCTCTCACAAACTAATAAACAAAGAGAATAACGCTAAATACGCAGTAAAATAATTTGCTACAACTTATTTAATATCCCAGTAATATTGAAATTGAAAATGTAAAGAAAAGAGGAATTCAATGACCGTAAAATTACAAAAACCATGAAAGATACCTAAATTTATAAGAATTGTGAAATATAAAGTCCACCTGAAATAAAATAAGATACAGCATCCTAATGATTTCAATGAATTATATTTAAAATAAAAAAATTAAAAAAAAAAACATGAAAACATTCTTTCCTTAACTTTCTTAAAATTCTTCGATCGCAAAAATAGCACCGAAATCGAAACCCCACTTTCTATTCCACTTTTACACGTTTCTTTCAAGTACTCACAATTATATATTGTCGCTAATTTTGGCTAAATATCATGAACATATTCTGTTAGAATTAATATAACATGTTTAAGGAAAAATAATTCCATCTCGTTATTGTTTTCTCTATTCTTGTAGAATTCCACCAATAGTGTTGAAATTAAATGAAACCTAATTTTTTTTTTCTCGTAAAACAAAACTTATTACTGTATAAAGGGTAATTTCGCCCTTTTGCACCTGCGAAGAATTTTGCCCCGTTTTAAATTCGCCCGGTCATGCATGGTCCTGTTAAAGAAATTATACTATAAAGTACATGTTCTTTGAATTCGCCCCGTTTTAAATTCGCCAAGTGTTAAAACATCCCTACATGTATTTGATCATACAATAAAACCCATCTTGCTTTATGGATGTGAAATATGGGGGAACATTAATCGACCAAGTATTTTTCGTAAAACCTCCAAACTCTCTGTATATGATATTTTTAGTAAGTTGAAGTGCGAGAATCTACACTTAAAATTTTGTAAGAATATATTGGGACTGCATAGGAAAAGTGCAAACTTCTCCTCATTATCTGAGCTTGGTAGGCTCCCCCTTCATTTTGATATTATAAAAAGTATTTTGAATTATGTCCATAGATTAGAATGTCTAGATATGTCATTCCCATTATTGAGAGCAGCATATTCTCAAAGTAAGATTAATTGGAGTAACAGTATACCATCTTGGTATGGAACATATAGTAAAATTGCAGAAATGATAAACGTTAATAAGGATATTTTGTCTAACAAATTGCAAACTTTCAAGATAAAATGCAAAAAACATTTAATTTCATACTACATGAATGAGTGGAACTTGATTAGATTGTTACAAGAAGGTAAACTGGATACTTATGTTAAGATTAAAACAAATTTTGGACTTGAAAAATACTTACTATGCCTGCCATTTGAACAAAGAAAATTAATATGTAGGTTGCGTACATCTTCTCACAATTTACAAATTGAAAGAGGCCGGTACTTTGGTATTCCTAGAGATCAGAGACTTTGTACTAAATGCTCAATGAATGTTATTGAAGATGAAAAACACACACTTTTTGAATGTTTGAGTTTTGTTACAGAACGAGAGAATATGATTAATGTTATACAAAGACACTGTATCAATTTTTCTCATTTAAATAATGAAAATAAGTTGTTGTGGGTTCTGAATTGTGAAAATATTGAAGTACTTTCAGCTGTTTGTGAACTGGTTAGACAAACCATATAAAATACTGATGCATATAATGTGGTATTTCTCTTTATAATAATAATAGGTGCATGTAAACACTGTATGTACTAAATTAAAAAAAAAAAAAAAAAAAAAGAATCTATAGTGAAGTTCTTGTGAATTGATCAAGGGTGCAATAAAGTGTGTCTTCTACATGTATTAAGAAATTAAAAAAAATTTGTATACTTCAAACATTTAATAAATATTACTTGTTCATAAGATATGCAAACAAAACATGGTGAATTATAAAGTACCAATGCACTGTCCCGTGGTATCTTTTGCAATTTAGTGGAATATAGCTACTCAGTATGTATGTGTGTGGACATGTATATATACGTGTATGTATGTATGTGTTGGTATGTATAAAAAAAAAATAATATATATATATATATATATATTTTTCATTTCTGTGTATGTATATCTCTGGCTTTTTTGCATTATGGTACACGGTGGTACTTCTTTATATATTTTTAATTACAATATGTATTTAAAGTTCACATGTTAGCAATTATTTCAACTTATGAACCATATGTAAATTATTAAGTATATACATGTACTAAGAACACATCACATCTTATTAATAACTATTATATGCTCTGTTTAATAATCATGTATGTAATATGCCCACAAGGGCCCTGATCTGGAATAAATCTATTCTATTCTATTCTATATATATATATATTGTTCGGTCGTAAATTACAAGTGAACTCGTTTTTGCTTTGAATTATGTTCATCCACTGCATACTGTATGGAAAAACGTCAAAAATCCGAATTCAATCTTCATAGGTTTGCCACTATGCTGCTAACAGTTTACTGGTACACGTTAAGCTTATAATTGATATTGTCAGTTTTGTTATCATAATCTGTCCATTTCAACAAAAATGACCAGATCTGGAAATATTTGTACAGGAAAAGAACAGGAAGAAGTTATCTTCTTAAAAATTGAAAAAAAAAATTACCGAGCTCCAAAAAGTTAAAATTGACGACATGCAAGATCCCCCAAATGCTATCAAATGCTATTTTGACGGGGATAGGTAACATAGTTAGAGGAAATAATGGTGGCTAGGAAGATAAATCTATAAATTTTGTTTGTATATAGGGAAACAAAGCCATTTATACTGGAATGGGGGGGGGTATCATATACCGCATTGTAACAACCGATCAGAAATATGATGGACTGACATCGTAGGAAAAAAAGGACTAAAATTATGCCATAAATAATTGCATCCTTACCAATAATGCCTTGAAAGCTGTGGGTAATAATCCCCTGAATTTTTGTTCACATATTCATGTACATATTTTCTCATAAAACCACATACAGCTGTATTATGAATAATGTTTTAGATTAAATAAATGTTACAAGTTTTTCAAATAAGAAATGCGAAGATGATGATCAGTGATCATGCTTAAAATTCCTTATAGACAATGCAAATCAATAAGCATGAACATATAAATTCAGCAGGGGGGAAATATCTGTAGACAATTCAACAAGTAATAAATGGCCTAACAATTCATTTGAAAAAAACATGCAATCAGCATTCAACTTAATGACAAATTGTATTTGCCAACCAGGTCATTGTATCGGCCATATAATGTGCGAAATAAAGATATTTAAGGAGACTGTTCAAATCCTCGTTACATTAACTTGTTTGTCAACAGCTTATCTCATTTTAGAACATGGAACATGCCTTTGTGTATCTGATAAACTGGGACATATCAACCCCATTTGCAGGTGATAAGGGTATATTTGCTTACCCAGCAGATATGTCAATCTTAAAAAGGCATAATATATATCAACAATAATAACATTTAATACATTTATTTATGTTAGATATATTTTTTAATTTATCTTGCAATCACATTGTACTGATATTTTTATTCCAAGGAAACATAATATGTCTCTGCACACAGTTCAATGTTCCTCAGATCTCCCAGTAAACTGCAGTATGATGATATACAGAGGTCCGGCTGGTCAGACAGACACACACTCCTGTTTGTTTGAAATGTAGTAATTCCTTGTCATGGGAAGGTGTAGTGGTTTCCGCGCATCTGAGCCAAATTCTAAACTCCTAAAACACAGGTTTAAAATACATGGTATTATTAAAGAAGTCTGAAAAAATTTGCATCAAATTTTTTAGAAATTGTATTAATTTGTTTTCATTGGCAGTTACCTTTTGGCTTGGATGCGTTCTCTATTGATGTCATAGTTAAGTAGATGGGGAGAGACAGCTAAGGGGGTATTTGTTGCATCATCTCCACAAGAAAACTAAAAGTAGAAATATTTTCTATACTTTTTTTAATAAATTAAACCCTTAGACTTATAAAAATCTTTATTAGACTGATAAATAAAATACTTCTGAGTATGTACATCTATTGCTGCTGTTCATATTGTCAAAGCCAGAATTCATGGGTTTATTACTGGTAAATTGCAGGTTTACTTTAAGAAATGCCATCATTTATATTCACAGCCATATTAATTGACTCACCTGAGCGTTCCACAGTGACTGCTGGTCTGTCATGTTGGACAACACGCTGGAGCCCTCGACAAACGTAGGAAGATGTAGGAACTCTGACACACGTTTATGACCTTTCAAACAAAGTTTTTTGAGTGTTTTTCTTTTGACGGTTGCTGCTATCTTGCTGTAAACCTCTGTCCTGTCATACGCAATCTGATTCAGTAAAGGATGAACAAGAAGTAACCCAGACTCTGCAAACACCTCACCAAACCTAAAGAAGATGGCAATTTTAATATTAAGAAGATGGCAATTTTAATATTAAGAAGATGGCAATTTTAATATTAAGAAGATGGCAATTTTAATATTAAGAAGATGGCAATTTTAATAAGAAGATGGCAATTTTAATAAGAAGATGGCAATTTTAATATTAAGAAGATGACAATTTTAATAAGAAGATGGCAATATTAATAAGCTATGCCATGGCAATTTTAATATTATAAAGAAGATGGCAATTTTAATAAAATATTTCACATAATAGGGATGTTTTAGTTTCAAAACAGTAATGCACATCATTGTTGAAGTTTAAGTAAACAGTATAGGATACTGAAATAATTAACCCAAAGCTTACAATTTCCAAATAGATTTGAACAGGTGCCGTCTCTCCTGTTGAAGGAAGTCCATGTTGGTGTGCCAGGTATTGGTGCTTTTTGTCAGCTTCTCATCAATTCTCTTGACGTACTGCTCCATGTCCCGCCTAACGTGTTTACTTAGATCCTCCCCTCTCAGTATCTCCTTAACCCGAGCTTCATGGAAAACAGGTTTGTTCGATATTAAGTTCACAATGTCATGGCTTTCTCTCAAATTAATACATACGTGTTGTAATTTTGGTTTCAAATCACCAATAACTCAGTCAAAAGTCATTATGAATGAATTTATGCTTAATTTAAAGTGATTTTTATTCCCTGCAAGTATGTTTGCTGTTACTTTGTTGTACAATATATAAACATTGACAGTACCTCTAGTATCTTTTACAGATCTAAAGGCAATGTATTGCTCCATCATGAAACGCAGCCTCTTTCTGGGTATGTCCAATGATCTCTCTAGTAAAGACAGCACTGCCTGCAGATAAATATATATTTAATATTTATATATGTTTTAATATTGATCAAATCAATTGGTACAAAAATTCTCTGCATACAGTTAACTTTAGGTAACATCATGTGGTTTCGGCCCTATGCTCTCCAAGGAGCTAATAGGAATAAGTCAACATCATGAGCATTTCAAATATTAATGGTACAAGGTGTAATAAGTGTCAAATACATAGATAAGCAGCTAGTATTGTGTTCTGTAAAACAGATCAGAGGACTTAAGAGAGCCTTACGTAATACAGATTTTTGGATATCTTGTTCTTCTCATAAGCCTCCTCTAACATCCTGATATTCTTCTTCTGGTCCTTTACACTTATCTCTAGTTCTTTATCCCGGAGGCTCATCCTCTGTAAACCACAAAAATAACACATCTCACAATGTACATAAAATTCTTCTCATTTTCCAAAGATCTTACAAAAATTGAGTAGCTATTTGTTTTTATTATACTTCTGTTAAAATGTTTCCTATATAAAGTTCAGAAGGTAAAATAACTATCCTTTATAGTCTACGCATAGCAAAACTATACCCCGGGGTATAGTTTTTGCTATCCACCCTCGGAAAATATTCATGCAATTGTTGCCGCCAATTTTGATTTCCAGCGATAAATCTTTAAACTGATGATGTCATAATGACTTCAGTAGCATTGTGACGTCATCAGGATTTCAGATTATTCTTGCAGAATTATCTTACTCCAAAGAAATTCAAACCTCAGAAATTAAATTATACATCAGTATAATAAAACGTTTATCCACTGGTTGTGAGTGGGGTAGCTCTTTTATCAAACCCTTGACAGGAACTATTCCCCTCGGGCAAGCCCTCGGGGAATAGTCCTCTGTCGCGGGTTTCATAAAAGAGCTATCCCACTCACACCCAGTGGATAAGTGTATAATATTCCCTGATTCCCACATGTTTACTGGTACTTACATTCCTGAGTTCCATTTTGATCTGGGACACAATAAGATTCTCCTGCTCTTTAGCTTTCTCATCGACTGCTTCCTGGAGGTCTGATTGTCTGTATAAGTATAGGAGTATACATGTTATCATCTCTCAGAGATTATTTATACAATTAGACACTTCATGAAATGTTGTACATAATCTTAGCTGATTACTTTGAATGTCTTAAGAACATTTAACATGCTGATAGAAATATAATTACAATTTTGCATTATTTCCTCAAATTTCATATATGACCTTGAGCATTATATAATGCTACTCTTTGATCTATGATTACTCTTGGATAAAATATTGAAACAAATGTTAAAAATTTTATATAACACATAATAAGACAAGTGATGTATTACTCAGGACAAAAAGCTTAATGACTTGTGATTTTAAAAACGTGTTGACTACATTAGTTTAAAATTCAGAAAGATTTTAAAAAGATTTTGTCAAGAGTTAAAAGGAACATAATTCATGCAAAACACACACCATCTATAACAAGCATTATAAGCAACAAGTTAGCAGTGCAGTGTTCTACTTACTTCTTCCAGGACTAAAAAAATTACATTATACACTGTAATTATTGTATATATGTGTTCTTTTTATCGTGTCACTGAATTTGAAGTTTAATTATTAAACTTCAAATTCAGTGACACGATAAAAAGAACAAGCATTCATTTCTGTCATTATAGGTCTCTAATATCCCTAAAATTATGCATAATATATTGAAATCATTTTTCATTCACTATTACAATTTTTTAAATAGATATGTACTCAGTTTTCCTATAAATATGACTTTAATGTGAACTGATTTTTCAAGTTTTTTGCCCTTTTCACTTTAGGTAAAAATCTTGATATGAGTCACGTTCACTGCAGAGATGGCTGAGAAAGAAGGATAACTCTGCACAGTACATGTATACTGTCTCACTTTAATAGTTAAAAACAGCTAGCCGGCTTTTTATCACACAGGTTTGTGTAATGACAATTGACAGTATGAAATATGCTGTGAAATGCTAATACTAACAGATGTTTTGAGGCATCAATATCTCTGAAGATACCAGATTGATTTATCCAATTTTTTGGGGCTGTGGTTGTTTTAAAAAGGAGGGAGATAATATCAAGTTCTAGATTTCAATCTAAATTATGTAAACATCTTTGAACATAAAAAAAATATGCATATGCATACAAAATTATATTTTCAATTGAGAAATATACTTAAATTTAACCTTCAATTTCGAAGACACACCTTTGATGGAACACAGTGAACTAAGTGAAGTTGAGGATTATTGTATACAGGGTTATTTTTGCCCCATGTTATTTTCACCCTTTCACACCTGTAAACGATTTTGTCCCGTTTAAAATTCGTCCAGTCACAGTTTTGTTTAAGAAATTATACTGTGTTCTTTGAATTCACCCGTTTTAAATTCACCCATCTGTGAGTAGGGTGAAAAGGGAGAAAATAAAACGGGGGCGAAAATTTCCCTGTATACAGTACTTACAACAGAGTCATATCTTTATTCAGGTTGTTGTACATCTTCCACACTCGCCGGTATCTGTCCAGCAGGGCCAGATATTTTCTATCCTACAACAAAGGTATTTTTAAGTATTAATGAACTGAAATAAGACACGAAAAAAGCTGTTCTTCCTGTTAGTCATAATTCTTCTTTTTTCAGTCATAATTCTAGTTCACAAATATCATCAACCAAGTTCATAAGGCAACATACAAACATCTATAAATTTTATAAGCTATAATTCTTAACTTTAAATTTCATTGAAGTTTTTATAATTTCATTTTAATTATTTGTATGGCATAATAGTGTGAAATACTCAATGGACTTACTAGTATGATATAAATTTTAAGATGTCTACATATAGAACTAGAAAACTGACCAGTCAGCAAGGGCCCCGCTGAGGGGTATGAATATAAGTGTGCAGCTCATGGAAGGAGGATTTTACCTGATTACATTTTTAAAAAAAACAATATGAAGAATATAAGCAACTACTGTAGTTTTAAAATTTCAAGATAATTCCTGAATGCCCAAAAAACTGTAAATAATAACCTAGCTTGTATTTACCTAAAACAGGGAAAACCTCATGTCTATATAAAAAGTCAATTAAATGTGTATTTAAAAAAGATTTAAGCAGGTGTTTTCTAAATGCAAGCTTTCAATGAATGCAAATATCACCTAGGGTTGACCTCAAAACAAACATCAGTTGCAGACAAAAGTGTTTATTAATATTCATGTGACAGATAAAGATAAGCCTCTAAATTTTCTGCAGCAAGCAAGATAATTAATCCCAGGGGATTAATTGTACTGCTCTCTTGTCCTATTCTTCTAAATTTACAATAAAAACTTTTTTTCAGCAATGAAAGAATGTGGTTATTATCTCATTACATGTTAAAATTAACAACATTAATGCAGCAAAAAAAAAAAATAAATAAATAAATAATAAAAAAAAAAATAAATGATAATAACAAAGAAGGATATCTTAATTTATATCTTGTTTTTTGAATTCAATAAAATCATAACCAAAATAAAGTATGAACATTATTAAAATCCATATTTCAGAGAATGTACACATCATTCAAAATTGATCTTAACTTCAAAACAAACTTCATCTGCAGACAGAGGCAGTATAGTAATTAATCTCAATGTGAAAGATAAAGATAATGCTATGGATTTTCTTTAAGTGGTTAATTAATCCCAAAGGACAAACTGCACAGCCTTCACAGTTTATAATGGGAACTTCTCAGGAGTTATCTCTCTTTTCCCATTCATTCTTATGCATAAATAAGGAAGCTACCCCACCACCCCAGCTCCAAACCAGAAGACATAGAGAACCAAACTTAGCATCAAAATATGTCTTTCTGCCTATTGAATACCATACCAAATTTGAACTTAATTGGGCAACAATAAAAAAAGTTATTAGAAAAAAACAGAAAATTTGTGGACGGAAGAATGACAGACGGACAGACAGACAGACAGACGGACGGACGGACGGACGGACGGACGGACAGAGTGATTACTATAGGGCACCCGCAAATCCTTGCGGGGCCCTAATTAACAGAGTTTTGTCCCTTTGTAAATTCCTAAATATTTTTAGTCTCTGTCACTTTAACAATGGATCTGAAGTAATTGAGTTACTAATATAAACTTCTTGTCGATCTTTAAGTTATATGAAGGTTTTGAGTAACTTACATGGACTTCTTGTCTCTCTGTAAGTTCTTCAAACTTAATCAGCTTTTCCTTGGCTATTTTGAGTCGCAGCGCCAACTTCTTTGTCTCTGTTTTTGAAAAATCAATTTGCCTCATAGTTTTCTGTAAAATATGAAGGTTTTTTCTTCAGTTTATTAATAAAAATATCTAAAATTGTTCACAATAATACAAAACATGCTTTAAGATTCACAGTGTAACACACAAAAAGTATTCTAATCATAAGTAATTCATATCACACATCCCTTCCTGGTGATGCTTTTGTTCTGTACTGTACCTTGGCCTCCTCCATTCGAGCCTTGTTTTCTGTCCGCCGCGCGGCGACTACTTCCTTCGTGGTAGACAGGGTGATAGATCCCTTAATCATCATCCTCATTGTCAGGAAGGCATTGGCGATTATTACTTCTAATTTGTGCATAACTGAAAAAATAAAATAAATATGTATACTTAATATAATATATTATCCTTGCATAAAACATTTTATTATCTTTTTTTTTAATAGAATAAAAAAACTTTAAAGATTTAAGGTCATCATCCATTGCATCCTTTCATTTAAGAAAAAAAACATATCTGTCATTCTGTGTTTTAAAACATCTAAAATATTGTTGAATATTAGACATACATTCTACAACACTTCCAACAAGTAAGGCCAGTAGTTCCTTTGGATCCAGAGCTAACTGCATAAAAAAGAAGTAACAGTTATTAGCTTAATAAAATTACATAGTCCTATGTAGGTAATGTTGCAATATTTTTTTTGAACACATACATAATAAAGGTTCCGATTAATAAATAAAGCATTAAAAATCTACTAATAAATCTCAAATTGCTTGGATGATTTTGCAAATCAAATTGTTGCATGAAAAAGTATTAATTATTGATAATGAGTAGGCTTGAAGATTGATAGTTAATCATCAATCCTACCCGGTACTCATTATTAATAATTCAACGTCTCGCTTCATGACATTCTCTTACACTCCTTTCTATTCTTTACCCGCCTGGTTCTCACCTTGTCCGGTATGAGGGAGCCCAGGGCCTGCATCGCCCGTGAGACGTCCTTTAGGCTCTCTTTTTCTACTATGTTACTGACGTGATCCCGGAAGTGCATGATGGCCCTGAGTACTCGGACTACGTCTTTCTGGAGAGCAAACATCTGTTCCTTGTGTGTGTTCTCTACTTTCTTCACCATTGCTGCATTCCTGTACAATTATAAAAGAGGCTACTTTGAAACTATACTCATGTTTTTGTGTAGTCAAACTAGAATATCATGAACCCGACTGAAGGAAAATTCAAGGTATCCTACTCTTTTTGTCATGCACTGTCACTTGAGATTAGTCAACCCATCTGTAACCCTGTAACTTACGTTTACTGCATAAATATGTACATGTATTTCCATTCTTAAGTGTTTTATAGCATACAAAATATATAATTACTGTAAAATCACATATTTTCGTTGGGTCAATTTTTTCATGGTTTGAGGAAAAAATGTTGGTTCATGGGGATTTGATTTCATGAATGAAAAACTTTTTAGTAGTTGTGCATATGAAATATTACATTTCGTGGCAGGCGTGAATTTGTGGGTCTCCTCATGCCTCGAAAACAATGAAAATTAACCTGTACAAAAATTAGTGATTTCACAGTATTTGATATGGAATCATGGTTTAATTCTATGTACTTGAGAATATGCACCAAAACTGAGATTTTAGCAGAAACAGTTATGCTATAAAGCTAATTTTCCACACATACATACACACATAATGTCCCGTCTTTGTGGAGTTTTGGTTTTATTGGATACCTAATTACCTCAGCCTCTCTTTGACAAGGTGACCTTTGATCTTCTCCAGCTCAGCATTAAAGTCTCTCTTCATTCCAGCCAGGAGAGTTTTGTAGTATGTGCTGTCTTTATCCCCAGTCTCTACAATCTGAATGATAAATATATCTGCTAACACCATGCATAATTATTCAAAAATAACAATAAAACTATTTTTGCTCTTGAATTTGCACAGTAACATGGGAATTGACTTTAACATTGTTGTACATTTTGATCAATTATACAGTCTATCAAGTCTACCCTCATTCCACATGCAACAAAAAATGTTTTTAAAGTGAAATGCCAAGAACCAACAGTTCCAATTCATTATTTAAAAGTTATTCATTATACCTGATAAGTTCATGATATTTATAATCCCAATCATTTCAACATAATCATGGAATCTATATTAGCGACACGTTCATGATTACTTGACAGGATTTTTTCATGATGGGAGACCAATGTTTGTGAATTTCAAGGGTCAACCTAACCCTCAGATCTACATCCCCATGAAATACTTATTTTGTCAACTTACTGATTCAATGAATCCTTTGTCTAAAAGCATTACTCATGAAATATCATCTTCTAACCGACCCCCACCCCTAATTTAAAATAAAATGACTCCCCAGAGTATGTAACACAGTGTCTAACCTGGACCTCTGGTGCGGGGTCTTGCTGGGGTTGTTCTATAGCCACCGTTAGTTCTGCCTCTTCTGCTCGTCTAATGGCATCCTCCAGATCTAACCTCAACTGACGAACTCTCTCTGTAGGTGTTATAAATAAAAACTTGACTTCTTTAATTTTTAACTATTTTTGAAGTACATAAATCATGATCCAGTATGAAAATGGTTACAATATAGACCTGGCCTGGGGGGCCATAAAAGTTAGATGGGCTCACTTTTAATCTCAGTCTCACTTTTTCCAAAGGAATATATAGTGGAAAAGTGAAACTGAGATCAAAAGTGAGCTCGTCTAAGTTTTATGGCCCCCAGGCCTGATGGTCATTGCATTAAAAGACCAGATGCATTGCAGGTGCAGCTATTAGACTATTAGAGCACAATTTTTTGCTTACACAGAAGGTTCACAGCCTTCATTTAGAGTATATTCCCCATCATGAACATTAATCGTCACAGCTGGGTTTCAATCTGATGAATTATGAAAACTGTAGATTCCTAAATATATGCATGGAAATAATTATCATGTAATTTTGCGAGATGCACCAATCGTGAAATAAAAATACTCGCTTTTATTTTCATGGTTGTGAAATCTATGTAAAAGCTCATAATAAATGTCTGTTTGTGAATTATTCTTCTCACACTTTCAAGTTGAAGAGGCCATTCGCGATAAAAAGTACTCGTGAAAAATAAGAAATCTACAGTAATGGTTGGTTTACAGTAGTTCTTGACTCTGGTAGAGACAAACAGACTGTAACTCTAACAAAGATGGATCTGCAGTGCTTGTGTAAGTTGAGTATACAATTTACCTTTCTCTATTCTCAGTAATCTTTCAAGGCTTCTAATTTCATCTTTCATCTTTTGAAGCTTTGCCTGTAAAAACAATCATTGTTTTGCAAGTACAGGTACTGAAAAACTTGGAGGTACATGTACAAATACAGTCAATTCTCGAATTATCGCCATTGGATTCATCGCCATTTTCGCAATACCGCCATGATTTTCCAAGAACGTTTTTCCTGCTATATAAAATTCTCTTTATAACGCCAAATTCTCATACCGCCATCCGCCACCCTGTTTTCAAAACAAACGTCCATTTTTAAGGGTCAACTATCTCGATATACCGCCACAGGTGCGTGCGGTCAGTGAAGCGCGGATAATTGGTTGACGCTATCCCTGTTGTAAAGCGTGCAAAGCCAGACAAGGTACACGTAATTAAATAATTAAATTAGAATTAAATGAACAAAAAAAATTTAATATGAACTGTTAAAATGATTTTATTCTGTTGTTTTGTTTAAAAAATCATTTAGTCAGGGCTTCGCCGAATACGATATTATTTTGATGATGTCTGCTTTAAACAATGCAAAGTTTGCTTAAAAATAATTATACGGTATAAATTGTGAAAGTTTCACGAACAATGATGCCATAAACAATAAATTTATTCAAGAAACTATAATTTACGTACTGTCAGCAATATATCACGACGATCGACCCAGCATGTTTTTTTTTTCAATATCAGACATGCCGATTTACCTGTATTTAAATGCACATGTACAGTCTTTATTTCATAACTGCACATTTTGTTTTAAAGAAATTGTACATAAAAATTACTTTAAAGTATTTTAAAATTTAGAAATAAGTTTTATATACATGTACATGTAATTATAAGAATAGAAACGCTTTATGATATTTCTAAGAACAGTAACTCTACTTCTTGTTTCCTAATGGAAATTCAAATCATCGCCAAATTCGTTATACCGCCATGATTTCTAAACTACAAAAGGTGGCGGTTTATCGAGAATTAACTGTACAGATGTTTAGATATAATGCAACTATGTTTAAGATATATAAAGAAAATGCACATATACATGTAAGTACTATGACTATAACATTTGTTAAATTTTGGCAGGTACCTTTTGGTCTTCAAGTTCTTTTTCTGTCTCATTCAGTTTTAATTGTGTTGAAGAATCTATCACTTTTATGATTTCTATGTAAAATACAAACTATAGTTAAGTTCTTTGCATTTTGGGAAAAATAGTTATAAAAGAGCACCAGTGCCATTGTCTTCATTATTTACTGCTTATGACATACCAAATGAACTACAGCTGAATTTACATTAAAATGAAAATCATTCCCATTAAATCACAAAATTAATTTCAAGATAAGATTACTCAAAATGTATAAATTAATTTATTCCAAGTTTGTAATTGAAACTTTTAACTGAGAAAATGCTATCTTTTTTAAATGTATCCAGTCCTCTCTGTATTAAATCACATGTTTTACCTGGTGGGGGCGGTGAGGGAGGGGGAGGGGGCGTGCCTGCCCTCACTTTCTCCACCACCTTGGGTTTTTTGGCCAGTTCCTCTTGTAGGTCCTTGATCTGGGCATCCTGTTTCTGACATTTCTGTGATATCTTGGCATTATTCTCCTCTGCTTTGGCCTGCAAAAAGTAAATTAAAAAGATGACTTGAAAAATACTTCAAATGGAAGACAGAGAAAAATAGAGAACTGGGTACCTGCATTTTTTATGAGATTAATTACAAGCATGAATATTCAAAGTTTACCAGCAGATGCTTCTTTTCATCCAGTTCTGTGGTTATCTTTCTGACATTTTTCTTCAGTTCCTCCAATTCTTTGCCTTTACCTTCAACATCAGTCTTTGCATTTTGTAGTTTCTATGAAAAAGATATAATGAAGAGGACATCCTAGTGATTGGACACCTGATAAGCATCAACTTGATTATACACCATATAGGGATGCTTGCATATCAACATTGCTAACAGCATAAACATTACAGTAACTGTAGATTCCTAAATATACGCGTTGAAGTAATTATCGCGTAATTTCACGAGAAGCACCACACGCGAAATAAAATTACTCGCCTTTATTTTTATTGTGCTGAAATCTATGTAAAATCTCTTGATCCATCGACCATTTGTGAATTATTATTCTCGCAATTTGACATGGAATAGCCCATTCATGGTAATAAGTACTCGCGAAAATTAAGGAATCTACAGTATTTTGTGAATTGGGTATAAAATTTTACCAAATGCATGAGGCATACAAATAAATTTTTCAAAAAATTAATAAAAAAAAAAACTTGAGATCATGATGCCAAAAAAAAATACAATATACTTTTCAACCTATGAAGCAGTTTAAATGTTTCAAAGAAAAAAGACAGTGCTACAGTGGGTAATCATTTAAACAAATGATGACCAGTTTTACAATGAAACGATAACTGTCAAAAGTGGATAAATAACCCACAATTTATTTTTCAGAAAAAGTACCTAGTCACTAAAAGTTATGATTTATGAATCATAAGGTGCTCACAATGTTTATTGACAGCCAGAATCTAATTGCTCCTTTTTTTTTTTTAAAAGAATCGTTATTATAAATTACCATTTTTGCATCCTCTGCCGCTTTTCTTTTTTCTTTCAACTCAGTGTTACGTTTCTTCATACCAGAAGAGAGTTCCTTAAACTGTGATTGACCTTTTTTAAAAACTGCAACAAAAAGTTTCAAAATGAGAATTTAAATAACCCCCCAGTTCTTACTTTGAATAAAAAAGATTTTAATTTCAAATGCTCTAAAATATGTTACCGTATAATCCCAATTAACCACCCCTGCCCCTATCAGCGCCCCCTAGGTCTTTTTTCAGTTATCAGAAAATAAGGGCCCCTTGTACAGTGACTAAAAACATCTATAATTGTATCAAAAGTCTGCCAAAATTTGAAGAAAGTGAAAATGTAACTTGTCTATTTTCCAATTTCTCGGTGGAAACTGAATCATATAGCATAATTTGGGTGGATTATCGTCACTTAAAGTAAAGTTAGACATTATTGTAGTGGTTCTTTAAAATTTTTGAAGTTAAAAAATGACTTTAAATTATATAAAGAGAATACCAAAATAAATGCCCCCTTTTCGCAATTTTCTAAGCATTCGGGGCGGTTAATACGGATTATACAGTATTTATTTTGTGTAAGAATTCACAAATTTTAGTTTCATACGAAGACATTGAACAAAAAGTGTTGTTGTCTCAAAGAAGGACATAAATTGCTACAAAAAATTTTGAATTGGTCCCTCTGTTGTGGCCTCAACCTTGCTACAGAAGATATGATTAGAACAAAAATTATATAAAGTATAATGGTATTTACACTTCTTAAAAAAATCAAACGTAGCTCTGCTGTTTAATAAAATGATATCTGGTCTATATACTCGCACATACATTGCCAGCTATATAAAACACTGAAACGAAAAATAGACACTCTGAAATCAGAAAAGCTTACCTACTTAAAACATTGTTTTATGTGAGGCTAGAGGTTCTCTGATCGATATATTTTGTGGAAACATAAAATGTGACACTGACTATTTTTGTAGGTAGCATTCTTGGTCCACTTCATGGCATCATCAAATGTACTCATGACCATCTTCACAGCTGAGTCCCACTTATTCTGGTCAGAGAGGAGAAGTCTCTCTATAGGAACAAAATATCAGAAGTTGATCAATCAATTAGCTGAACCAATTTCAATTTCATTTTGACTTAAAACTCAAAATATACTTAAAATAATAAATAAATTGGGTTTTTTATTCATACTATCATAATTTCCTAAATGTTAATTTCAACCATGACCTAAAAAGTCTGTAAATTATTTTTTTCTGATTTAATCCTTTTTGTCTGAATTGTAGTCCAAAAAATCTGAAGCCAGGAAAACGTTGGACTATTTGAATTGAAGTAGTCACTACTTTACCATCAATAACATCATTACTCTCAATGACAACTTTACCATCAAAGACAGCATTACCATCAATGACAACTTTACCCCATCATTGACAACTTTACTGTCAATGACAACTAAACCAGTAATCACAGACAACATCATTGTCAAAGACAACCTACCCCAATCAGTGACAACTTTACTGTCAATGATAACTTAACCATCAATGGCAAATCAATTATCGATTAAAACTCAATCAACACTGAAAATTTTACCATCAATGACAATAGTTTTCTCCTGTTCTTTGGCCTGACCCACTTTAGCGATTTCCTTTTGTTCCATAATGATAGCATGAGTTGTCGCCAAGAGACTGTTCCCAAGGTCCATCACTTTTTCACTCAAGCTTCCATATCTATGGATAGCTGTCCTAAAATCAAAATTTAAATACATTTTGTATTACATTTCACAACTGTCTCGTGGAAGACCAAGACTCAACTTTTAAAAATGTTATCACAGATGTTAATTATCTATATAAATAATGTTTAAGGAAAAGTCTTACAAATAACAGACAAACAAATTTTGATCAGTAAATTTTTTTTAAACTTTGTTTCAAATAAGCAAAAACTTATTTCACAAATCAAAGAGAGCTGTGTATATATTTGGTTAAGGTTTTTATAATGTACATGTACCTGATAGTGCCTTATACCTATATGACATGACTTTGTCTAATACCTACATGACATGGCTATGTATTTCTTGGAAATGTCTGCTCATCTGAAAAAGTTCCTCCTCACTTGGGAGCTCACTAAGCTGAAATGACACTTAATTTCTATCATATTAGTTGGAACTTTCTGAAAGAAAATAAATCAGTTGAGTCAATTTAATTTGTCTATGTTGCATAGGCAGGTCATGAGGAAATGACCCTGAATGGAGTTTCTTCAGACCCTAGCTTGTGTAGCCTGTCATCTATGTGAGTGGATCAAAGGATCATCTGATTTTAATTGGATTGCAAAGCTTTGGAATTGTTCAATTATATACATCTACATTACATTTCAAACATTTTTTAAAATAAAAAATTTCTTCCTTAGGTAATTATCATTTAGTTACATTTGTTCACCTATATTGTTGTGAAGATAGAACTTTACCAGGTCTGTACTATTGAGCCAGTGGTTGACTTCTGTCAGGAGAGCGTACCTCTCCTCTGTAGTTCCTCTGTAGGACTCCACCCTCTGCATCACCGCTCTCTCTTTATACATCTGTAACCATGACGATACAATAAATTATACAGAGACAGTGCATACTGCAAATAAATGTAAAACACTGTAATAGACTGCATCAGATAATGAGCAAAATGTGTACTAATTAAATGTAAACTAGAACTGTCCAAACGGGACAAAATACCCCCCGCTGGGTTTTTCAGAAGTAAGTTTTTCCATAATAAAAATATGTATCAAACACCAATTATGAAATTTTTATTCCAGTGACCTTGAACTTCCCTAGATAATCTTGGGTCAAGGTCATGACACACCCTTGGGTCATGGGCAATCTTTCAGTGAAATGAGAACCTACCAAGTTTATCCATAAGAAAGATATGGACCGGACACGAATTATGATATTTTTCTTCCAGTGACCTTGAACTACCCGAAATGACCTTGGGTCAAGGTCATGACACACCCTTGGGTCATGGGCAATCTTTGTGTGAAATGAGAATCTACCAAGTTTATCCATAAGAAAGATATGGACCGGACACGAATTATGATATTTTTCTTCCAGTGACCATGAACTTCCCCAAATGACCTTGGGTCAAGGTCATGACACACCCTTGGGTCATGGGCAATCTTTGTGTGAAATAAAAACCTACCAAGTTTATCCATAAGAAAGATATGGACCGGACAGGAATTATGAAAATTTTCTTCCAGTGACCTTGAACTTTCCAAATTGACCTTGGGTCAAGGTCATGACACATCCTTGGGTCATGGGCAATCTTTGTGTGAAATGAGAACCTACCAAGTTTATCTATAAAAGATATGTATCAAACATGATTTTTGAAAATTTTCTTCCAGTGACCTTGAACTTTCTCAAATGACCTTGGGTCAAGGTCATGACACACCCTTGGGTCATGGGCAATCTTTGTGTGAAATGAGAACCTACCAAGTTTATCAATAAGAAAGATATGGACCGGACACGAATTATGAAATTTTTCTTCCAGTGACCTTGAACTTCCCCAAATGACCTTGGGTCAAGGTCATGACACACCCTTAGGTCATGAGCAATCTTAGTGTGGAGTAGTAGATTCTAATGTCCCTCTGTAAGAAAGATATGGACCGGACACGATTGCACAGACAGACGGACAGACAGACAGACGGACGGACGGACAGACGGACAGACAGACGGACAGACGGACAAGGTGATTCCTATATACCCCCCCAAACTTCGTTTGCGGGGGGTATAAAAATACATGTATATAAAACAACAAAATACTGTAAACCAACTTTTATTTGCGATGAATTTATTTCGCAATTCACTGAGGGTAAAGTAGTTTGCAATTATCAATTTTCGAGGCCGAGCCTTTTTTATTGATCTGTTGTCAATGGACACAGATACTTTAAGAATTTGGTTCATGCAAGAAATATTCACAATGACGAGGCTTTCATAAAACTCATTTTATGCTCACGATTAAAAGATTGTTTAAAACTAAACAATAAAATGTCTTTGTTTTTTAGTACGGGAATTATCATTGCAACTTAAATGCAGAAAAAATCACATAATCTGCGGGAGCAGATTTTGAATTTTTTGTGCTCAGCAGTGACATTAATTCCCGTAAGATAATACCTACTTGATCAGAGATGATTTTACAGAAATGACAAAGGCAGTCTCCCTACAATGAACTCATTAATTAAAATCTTGAAATGGAAATATTTTTCAAAATACTTCTTATATTTCCAAGACTATCTAAAAATGGATTGATACCATTTGTTGTTTGTTGCACTTTTAACCCTGCATTTTTGTAATACAGGGAAACTTGTCTAATCTGATTATTACGTTTTGTGTTGGAACAGACAGTAACATGATAAGATGGGAATGAAAAAGGCTTCGAATTCACACCCTGAAATGGATTGCACAAGTGTCACATTGAACAGTTTTCACCTATTAATAACAATATACTCCCACATTTATGCTGAAATATTTTTAAATTTGTTACAATGCTGTATATCATAAATTTAAAAAGTGTAAACATGATGATGCAAATATTTGTAAAATGAAGAAAAATTGTCCAATGAAAATAAATAGGTGAAAATCTTTCATGTCAATCATCAGTTTCGGACAAATCCATGCAGTTATCTCAAAGAACATTGTCCAGATAAAATCATGTATGTGTCAACACATGGTTAAATAAACCTCGATCCATCTTTGTCCCAAAAGGACTTGGAAAAAGTTTTCATATTAGATAAATGTATCAATGAATGAACAAGTCAATGAATGAACTAGAAAGAGGTTGATATCTGTGATTATACATGTAGTCATATGAAATATTCTCACCTTTTCTCGTCTCTGCTTCATAATTTCCAAACTGTTGATTGGCGGAAATTTGGTGGCCTTCAATATAAAATAATTTTCAGCAAGAGAAAAATGAGATTGAAATAAATCAGCTGAATATTGCAGTACTTAATAAGATATGAAATATATGTGTGCCATGCATGTTATTTCATCTCATCAAAGTGTTGCTATTTGCACAATTTTTTGAGTGAAAAACAAAGATGTGTTTGAATCAAGGTGTAGAGACACTGTCAAATTACATAAGATTTACACCTTACACCTGCTTTCAGTTCTCTCCATAAGATGATGTTATATGTAATAAGCAAATGATTCCTAAAGGCCCTTTCACAATTGGCGCACGAGCAGAAGCGACAAAATATTCGTGCAACCGAATAATTTTGGTTAGGATCGTAAACTGTTGCCAAAATAATCGCATATGAAAAAAGTGTTCGTACGAAATTTGCACGATCCAAAGCGACTGTTGTGCATTAAATCTTGCGATATATCTTGCGTCTATATGCGACTGTTGCAGAATGAAAGCGAGTGTTGCAAGATAATGCGATAGGATTGCACGACTGATCAGGTAATCGGACGATTGAACGTGCGACAAAACGATTGGACGTGCGGTGCTCGTGCGCTCATGCATTCCATAGTACGAATGTTCGTGCGAGTCAGAGGGCCGGGTATATATACCACAGTTTCCGACGCTCTTCAGTTGATATAGTTAAGATGCTTATAATTATACACGGTATATATACCTGTTGCAAAGCATGGCAATTGAAGGTGATAAATTAAACAATGATAGTAAAACTTTGCAAGATTACATGAGACATGTTGAGCAACAGTCTCATGATCGCAAAACACACGCAAAGACAGCTGCGATTCATCTTACGATCTTAAAATATTGTGCATCACTCTTACGAGTACCGGTACATAAAACGTTGTGAGACCTTCGTACTAATTTTCGTGCGTTGAATTGCGATAATTTTGATTGCATTTGGTCGCGTCTGAATAGTGTGCATGTTGACTATTTTGAGGAGACTTGATGCGACCACTAAAACACATGCAATGAATGCGAGACATCGTGCAACGTATAGCTCGTCAAAAGCTAAAATTTTCCGATCGCAAAGTGTTGTAAAGTGCTCGTGCGCCAATTGTGAAAGGGCCTTTAGGCACGCCAAATTCACAAAAATGAGATAATCATACCGAACACCGAAAACAATCATTTGCGATTGCAAAACATAGATTATCTGATAAATACAGTTTCACGATTTGTAAACTTAGTTTACAAACCGTTAACTATAGTTAACGATCTGATAAATATAGTTTCACGATTTGTGAAACTATGATTAACAACTCTTAACTATAATTTACGATTGTAAACTATAGTTTACAAACGTGAATCTATGTTTATCAACAAAATCTATTGTTAACGCTTATTACAGACAGATAAACTTAGATTATCATTCGTAAACTATAGTTAACAACCGTTAAATATAGTTTTACAGATGAAAACTATACTTAACGAATCGTTAACTAGAGTTTACGGTTTGTAAACTATAGTTTACAGTCGATAAACCTAGTTTATCAAATGTGAAACTAGGTTTATCTCATTTTTGTGAATTTGGCGTGCCATACATAAAGATTCCATTATCATAGTGAATTTTATCAAATTTTAATGCATGCTAGTATACTTTTCATTAGTTGCTTTTTATAATACATGGCTATTAGATTTTCATTAATTTGATACAAATTATTTCACTTCACATCAATTTAAAGCAAAATAAATATTTAATAAGCATACCTGTGAAAAGGGCTTAATTTTCAGATGTTAATTCCTGTTAGTTACTTACTGCAGCTAAATCTTCTCCCTCTTCATACATATCCACACAGTATAAAACCTATAAAACAAGTAGGACTAAATCACACATTAACTCTCTTTTATTCTTGGAAAAACTAACACTTTTTACATAAATGTATAAGGTTTTGTTTTATTCTATTCAATACATGTTCATGTTCTTTCTGATAATCTTAACATTAGTTCCCAGTGTCCAATATGAATTGTTTTATAATAATTAAAATTGTTTTCAAACTTTTATAATCATTTTGTATTATATAAACATAGAATCGAGATGTGTCACGTATCAAGATTTCATTGTTTTGAAGTCTTTCCTGGCACATTTTACTGACTTATTAATTCCTACCTCTTTCACTCTATCTTTGATAGAGACCAGTTCATCCTGTATATCTTTTCGTAGACGAGAATTTTTTCCAGCGTCAATATCCTCTACAATTTGACCTACGTCTTGAGAAGCAATGAGAAGTGCTGAGTCAGGGCTTTGACTAATGCTCATCTCCAAACCTAGTATATATAGACAAAGTTCAAGAACTTGATGATTTCTGCTGCTGCACACACATTGATTTTATCAAAATGAATCTTTTTGTAGAGGGTGATATTTAAAGACATATCCCTCACAATTTTATGGATTCAAAGTTGAAAAACTGCATTTATTTTCATTAAAAAACAATTCTGAATCTGAAACATATTTTTTTTAGATGTAAGACATACACAAACAGATGTATACTTTTGCTTTAAAAACTTGCAAATTTAAAGTAAAAAGTATTGAAAAATTATGTAAAATCTGCTTAAAATATAAACGTAATACTGAAAGTTCTAAAACATTTGTTACTTTACAAATGTTTGAATTATGAATACAATTAAACTTGTTTAGTATGAATACGGATATTGTGAATTCACGGACGTAGTGAAGTTATCTTGGATCCCCAGTTATACAAATTTAACAATTCCTTACATGGATATAGCGAAGTAATTTCACAGGTCTTAGCGACTTCTTATAATCGAGTTTTACTGTATCAGGAAAAACATTCTACTTGAAAAGTACAATAAAGAAGTTTTCTACACGAGGAGGAGTTATTGCCCCTAGGAATTTTTTTTAAGATTGAATAATTGATAAGATAAAGGAAATATTCAATTTTAAAGATTATTTTATTAAACAATAATTTTCATTACACCTGTTGAAAGCATTCTTTCATAAGATAAATTTCTTGTGGGTATGAAATTAAATTAATAACGCTTTTTGCAAAAACCTATGGCATCACACGAGGTTGTAATACAAATTTTTTGCTTAAAAAAAGCTTTGTTGTGAATTAATCTGCAAAAAGATGCTTAAATAGTACGGTATTGCCCTAGATTTAAGGAATTTGAGTAACAGATTGGATGACAATGATGTATTAGATCTAACTTCAGGGCTCGACATTAACTTTTTTCCCTACTTGTCCATTCGGACAAGTGACCAAGATATTTACTTGTCCGAACTTCAACTTCACTTGTCCGAAAAAATTTTCATTGAATATCTTATTCTGTCAACTTGAAAACTATTACATAAATGAAAAAAAATTAAACATGCTTGATTTATTAGTCTTGTTATTGATAAAAAAGACAAACACATATAAAACAATTAAATTTTATCTACACAACCTGACCTGACAACAACATAAATGTTTGCAAGTGAATCTCTAATTCAATCAGATTTATTCCAAATCGGCAAACATCGCAAGATCCACGCCATGCATGGTATGGATGCAATTAGTGAATATCGATCCCGATCAAGTATAAACTTCAACTTACATACTTGATATCGGGATCGAAATTCGGGTTTATGTACTGCTTCCGTTTGTATTCGATAAACTTATCAATTAAATCGATAGTTGTTTTTTATTATTATTCAAAGACTTCTTTACATGAAAAATCACTTGTCCAATCGGACAAGTGCCCAGCAATATTCACTTGTCCGTAATTGTTTTTCATTGGTACCGGACAAGCGGACAAGCGTTAATGTCGAGCCCTGAACTTACCATGTACTCTCTGATTGGCTAGTTCTTGCAGGAGCTTTTCTAAATCTATCATGGTAGGTGGCTTCTTGACAAGTTTTTCACTTGACGTCCCTTCAGGTACCTGAAGTGTGAAAGGTTCAGTTCAATTTTCAGTTCAATTTAATTAATGATACCCTACATGCAAGTACATCAATTTGAATCTCCCGAAAGGTAATAAATTAATGAATTATTGCCACTTGCAAGCACTAAAAGTAAAACATTAAATTTTATTATTTAGGGTTCTTAAAAAAACATCTATTCTTTCAATGATGCAGTTCAGTACTAGCTGATTAGAACTTTATACTCTCTATACATTTTCAAAGAATTTTTTTTAGGACATTGCCAGGCAATGTCTAAAAAAACTAGCTTTAAATTCACTATATAATAGTAATCATTGATATTTTGTTATATTAGTGTAACCTTGTTCAAGTCTGGGGAGAATGCCTCTTTCCTCACGTGGTCAGTGACAATCCCCCCTCTCCTCTTGGACTGTCCCATTCTCTCCGGTGAGGGTGAGCTGTTTTCATCAGAATCGACCTGCCTCCGTTTCCGCTGGCCCGGTCTGGGTTCCGGTGACGTATCATCTGGACTGAGCCGCTTCGCCTTGCTCCCAGTTAACTGGTCTGTGATGGACACCAGTTTTGAAAACCGTACTTTTCTATTTTCTGTCGCATTGGTAAGAGTGCCCAAAAAGTTTTTCTGGAATAAACTTAATGATTAATATATTTGACATTTAGTTTTGAAATATATACTTTTGTATAACAGTATGTGACTGTGTGTCCTACAGGTTTTCCTAGGCCGACAACTGTATCCTTACCCTTTATTACATGAAGATTATTCAATATTGGATAATGCATTTTCCACTAGCATCTTAAACTATAAATTATTACTTTCGTACATTTGTTATATGCATACTTTCAAATTTTAAACATATACAAATAATTTATATATTAAAAATAATTATAAAACTAGAAAGTCTGCAATTGCAAGCAATAGCGTATGTCACCTCAAACTGGACAAGACTTTCATTTTTTGTATCACTAAAACAATTCCCATTAGCTAAGCTTGGACAACTATCAATTTGTATCAGTCCTTTCAGTACTTTGATTTAAAAATCAAACTTCAAGATTTTTTACGTTCCCCTGGTTTCCATGGCAATAATCGATTATTTGAAAATTTTAAATGTGATTCATACAACTACAATTACTAATCACTAAAATAAAGAAAAGTTTCATGACGAAGGTTCAAGTGACCAGAGAGAACACTCGTGGACAAAATTCATCGCTTTTTGCAGGTTTCCATGGCAACGGTAGCCATTTTGAAACTGAATGACCACACAACACAACTACAACCAGTGATCCTCCTTTCAGGAAAGTGTCAGGAATACTGTTCCAGTTATCTCCGAAAAACAGCCTGAATTACAAAAACATGTGTGCAATCGCAATATGTCGTCCCCGACTTCGTTCAGGGTGACATAAAAATCAATGCTGTATTGCAGTTAAGCATTTCTATACATGTAACAAGGTATCTTAAAACAATTGAAGATTCACAAAAGCCTGAATAACAACTTTAACTGCAGTAAACATTTTCTGCCATACAATGGCTCTTTAAATTCAGAAGGTTGTAAAAAAAAAAAAAGTCAAGAAAAAAATTGGAAAATGTTTAGAAAATTTGAACTCAATTTAGATTTTAGGTTTTCATTTTCCTTTGCATCTCTTTCTAATAGTAATACATTCTTGGCCTAAATTATCAAAATATTCATATTTATTTCTATCCATTATTAAACAAATACTATCTTTACTTTATTATTGAGGTGAAGCTTATCTGTCGATGAAAAATTTATGATCAAATAATTTGAAAACACCAGTTTACTGATAAGAGGTAAAGGTAAATACAAACATGTCAAAGTAAGAATTTCAATAACAATTTGGATTTTAAATAAATAAAAGTGTTCCACATTTTAACAATGCAGAGCACTTCTTGCTGGGGATCAATGGAATTACAAAATTATGCTACAAATGCATTTTGCCTTCATGTACAATCCTAACTTATCAAAAATTCATTCCAATTTTTAATTGTTCTAAAATTGATTTTTTTTTAAATAAAAGATTTTTCCCTATGATGGTCCCCAACCTAGCCTCAAAGGGTTTTTAAAATGCTACTTCATTTATTAAAGGTATCTCCCATTTAAAGAGGGTTTAGCCCTTAATTTATACAAACAAGATTCATCAAAGAGACTTCGAGATTTTTGAAAATTATGTTTGAAAATGAAACCTGTGTGATTTTAAAGAGGTTATAGGTTGAATATGTACAAAAGTGGATTACATGTAGTTTGAAAATAGAGTAGACGTAAAATCACTACACACTATATTGTATGAGGTGTCAAGCTGGATAAATTTAGATATAAAAATCTATTTCATATTAGTTTATTACACTTTGAATGTCCTCACGACAAGATTTCGATCATGAGACCAAACAAAATGTAAGTAAATTAGTTGATACAGTTATATTAATGTACAGTCATCAACCAATACCGGCAAATCTAAACATAGAAACCATGCAGTACTGTAGCATTTGCATTCAAATCAGTTCAACTAACCGCAAGTTGGTAGGAAGAACCACCAAGAAGTGAAGAGATCACTGTAAAATAGGTTTTTTCATATTTTGGATAGGAGTAATTTTATTTTACCAAATGAATTTAATTTAACTTTTTTTGCCAAGAAATGTCTGGATTATAAATATATTTCATTTTTGTGTGTGTGTGTGTGTGTGGGGGGGGGGGGGGTGGAATGTACCCCCCCCACACACACACACACACAAAATGATGAATTGATCCACACACACACACACACACACACACAAATGATGAATTGATCCACACTTATGTAGCTATAGTATGATATTCTTTTAACATAGGTGAATTACTTTGCGGTTTACAGCTCTATTCTGCTTTAATATTGACAGTTTCCTGTCATCCTGGACTGGGGTCCTACTCCTGTCTGGACTGATTCCCTGCCTATTGGTTGTCCCACCTTTGTTACTATATTTAGATTTTTCAGGACTTCTTAGAGGACTTGGCTGGCTTTCCCTGTTCCTTGGTATAAGCTTGTTTTCCTGTACAAAGCTTCTCAGCCTCTTTCCTAGAATAAAGAGCAATTAAACCACAATATTATTGTGTTAAAGCGCAGAATTTATGTAATTGAAACATTTTTTTAAGTGTGCATCTAAAGTAAATTCAATATCAAGGCCGTAACTACCATTGAGGCAAGTGAGGCAAATGCCTCACTAAATTTTTAGAATTTTCTGAAAAGTGAAAAAGTGTTAAACTGAACTTATGAATTATGTGTGTCTTCGTGCTAAGTGAATAATTTCAACTTTTGTTTCGATTTATGTAAATCGTTCATCTCGCCAGGTGCCTCAAAATCATTTAGAACGCATGTAAAATATAATTCAAAATGTTTGTTTTGTAAACTGTTTGATTGTTAAAACATCCCTTCTAAGAATTTCTCATTCATATTGAGACACCACTACTTGCCGGTGGAGGACTGCAAGTTTTAAATCTGCACTAGGCTTTCAGGGTCACTGAAGATGATTGAACAGTGAAATATCTTTTTGTGCCATCACTTACTGTGATATAGGACCTCGATTTTTACGGTCTCATCCGAAGGACCGGTCTCCACACCCCACAGTGGGATTCGAACCCGCGATGTAAGGATCAACTCCTTAGTCTGCGGCTCTAGAGCATACGGCCATACGCTCTAACCACTGTGTCATGCGAGCGACAATTCAAAAACGTAATTACTTTCTAAGGTTAAATCTTTTATTTTCTGATAACCAGGTTTCAGGATTCCCCTCCTCCTGGAAACCCCACATCACTGGCTATCAGGTACTACCCTTGCCCCGTCTGGGACTAGAAATGCCCAACGGCAACACCCTTGCCTCACTAAAAATTGGAACCTAGTTACGCGGCCTTGAATATTGCAACATGGTATTTTAAATTTAACAATCCGGAAAACAAGCCCCCATATTTATATTAACAAGAATAGATATGGGTTACCCCATATCCAAAGATATTCGACTTTTAGATTTAATGTGTTTAACAGTGTTTATAATGACTTTAATTAAAAAAAACTGCAGTCTAATTATGGAATTGGTGTAAATTTCGTAAGTCCGTAGCATTACGGTCCTAACAAACAGTACACATACCTGTGTCTGCAAGACCAACATTAGCCTAGGTCTACACACGTGCGATGGAGTTGTCAAATTCGGAGAAACACGTTTTGTTTTGCCGAGAAGTTACGATGGCAGACAAAACTTTTCTTTTCTTAATTAGATCATATGAATACGAATTCTGATTAATAAAAATTATACAATCCCTGTTGACATGGTTGAACTATAGTTTGTTCTATCATTTGCATCTGCAACAACTTGTGTTTAAAATGGGAGGGTTAGGAAAATCAGGACCGGCTCGGAAAATTCTAAACTGAAAACCTTTTTTTGTTTTAAAAATTACTGAAATATACTAATGTAATCGTCGCAGAAATTACTTACATAATTCAAGTTCTATATGAAATGGTATGCTAAACTTCAACACGTACGAACCCTAATCTCCGACCCAGTTCTCGTTTTGCTACACATTTTATACCCTACAGTTTACCAAGTGTACACACGAGCAGAAAGCCCCCATATTTATATTAAAAACTACTATGATCACCAGATAATTTATACATACGTACATGTACACATGTATAAATTTATTAAACTCTCACTATTATGATCAATTACGAACCCAACGTTGATAAAAATTGTGAACAGATAGTAATTTAATGTTAATACAAACAACTTCACACAAAAGAAGAGCTTTAGATTCACCTCTTGTTTTCATGTCTCCCTCAAAGTTTTAGCGCCTTCTTCATGTCAACAGTACACACGTGGTTGACCTTTCACCCATATCTTTCCATTCCGTCATAGAGCTGTAAGGATTTTTATACAGAATAAGTTCAGATTCTTACAGTTTGCAGTTTCCTTTAACTGAAAAGAACATCGTTAATCTATAATTTTCAATATATTATGAAAGTTATTGATGAAATACAAGTTTTGAGAGGTTTACAAAAATAATTTATTACAACCTGATTCCCCTCTAAAATGGAACCTTCTGCACATTGGAAAATGTTTGTGACGTCACTATGGGAATTGGCAATTTATCAATATTATGTCGCGTAGTGATATTTTGAAACACAAAACTGAAAACAACACATAACTAATTATTTATAATTATTCGACAAACAGAAAACTTTTACATTTCTATTAGTTTCATTCGTTTTAATCTATACTTGAATACGTTTCTTTTATTTTAAATATCGAACTATATTTAAAGGCGGAGCAATCCCATCTACTTATGTAGTGTGCGCTTTAGCGAATATGAACAATCAGCGACTAAAGAGATTACACCGAATTTACCGTAATAGGTCAATTGACTGTTGATTGAGACTTGAATCACAGGTATAGTATACGTATTATCCGTCCTTCTCTCTATCCGCGGCAAATTTGATGTTTACAATTTGCTTCCTTGGTTGACCAGATCCAGATCTATTGTCATATTGTCTCATTGTCAGTTCTTGCAGAACACGGGCACCTGTATATAAGATGTTTTTATAAAAGTTACAGAATTGTGTAAAGTACTAATTATTAACTGATTACTGATAAGTAAAAAGTGTTAATGTATTGAAGCTTAATATTGTCAAAAAAGTATTGGTACATTTGCTTAGTTGACAGTTTGTCATGTTCATTAAATTAAGCTATAGGAATATGAAGATGAAATAGAATTTTGTACTTCTCCCTGTTTTAAAGACAAATTTGAAGAATTTATGATATTGATTTTATGTATAGCATCATTCTTGAACTCCAACATGCAAATGGACGTGATCTGAGATTTTTGTTATTTTTGCAGTTCTACATTGATCATATTGCAACTAAATTCTCAGAAGTCTGTCTTTAAAGAAAATAAATAGATAAAAATATAATAATAATAAAAACTTTGTTTTTGTTGAAAAGTTTGATTCTGGCCAATTAAGTCTTGTCTTTATATGATATTGTTCAGCTGCTCCCCAAAAAAATGAAGTTGACAAATTACCTTTTCAATAACATTATAATTTTGCATGTTTTTCATACTATTATTTTTAATATTGAAAAAAAAAATTCGAGGAGTTTCAAAGAAAATTATGATCTGTGATACGTATTACAAGTCAAAACTTCTCGTTTTTGGTCACAGTTTCATAATTTATTTCAAATCGATATGAACAAGCTTTGAACAATAGTGTTAATGGGTTACATAAAATAAATTATTCCTTCTTCTTCTTTTTTTTTTGATTTATGCTTTGTCCTATTTTATTTTAATCAAGAAATTTGTATAAAATATTGATTTGGTTACAAAACTCTTTAATCTATTGCATCCCTAGATTTTATATAATTCTGATAATGATGACTCTGCTGTTTGTTACAATAATTATTTTTTTTAGGTACATTTTAATCAATGTTTAATCTTTCTGTGATCCACATATCAAGCATGACTTGAAAATTATTAAATGAACCAGGGTGTAATTATTGTACAGTATTTCAATGTTATTTTGTAGAATGTAAATTATCACAATGAAGCGTAAGTTGGAGGGAGAAGATTCCTCCTCCCCGCAGACCTCAGACACAGAAAACAGTTGTAGTTCTGTAGTCACCAACAGCAGCTCAGATGTACCACTGGACCGAATCCAAGGTGGGTCTTTTAAATTTCTATATAATTCTGAAATATTCAAATAAGTAGTTGCTAATTACCTCCCCTTGCCTTAAACCCCCCTATAAACAGATTTGGAGTATATAGGAATCTGTCCGTCTGTCTGTCTGTGCAGTTGTATAACTCTCAGTCTGTCTAATGGAGAATCAATGAAAGATGATACCTGCCACTAAAAGTGTCCAGTGGCCAAGATGTGAGAATGTCTTAATCTTGAATCAAGGTCATTGGGCAGGTTAAGATAATGACTCACTTGTCAAAATTAAAAAAAAAAGTTTCTAGTCCATAATTTTCTTATTAAAAAAAAAACATTGAAAATCGTTCTTTACATAAAGAGTATTATTTTCTGAAAATAAGAATGAATCATGGTCTTGATCCAAGGTTATTTGGGCAACTTCAAGGTCACTGATTAAAAAAAAAGTTTTAACAAATTACATGTATCTCTTAATGGAGAATATTGGTGGTTGATATCAGTACTGAGTTTTCTTATTACCTGAGGAAAGGTGAGGATGTGTCTTGATCTCTACTGACAGGGTAATTTGGGTAGGTTTAATGCAGCTGACAAAAAGAAATGTGTTAAAAATTAGTGCCAGGGCCATGAATTTCTTATCAAGAGGAGGTTATACCTTCACATACTTATCAAAAGTTAATATATTACCAGAGGATGGGTCATGACCCTGAACTAAGGTCATTTTGACAGGTTCAGGGTCACTTACTTGCTTTCCTATTTATCCTTCATATGCACCAGAAGATGCCACTTATGATTGTCACTGACAATAATCTGTGTTACTCTCCATATATCCCATCCCATTCTTTGATCTCTATTGCTTTAAAAAAAAAATGTTTCTTTGAGTCCTGGATATTGTTTGCTATGGAGAATCACTGGAAAGAAGCTCATTCTTGGCACAAAGATTTTTTTTTTGCAAATTTTAATTAAGACTTTAACCTAGAGCTATTTTGGGTTATTTCAAGGTCACCGGCAGACAAAATAATTTTGTCTGCCAGTGACCTTGAAATACCCAATATATAATTTTATATGCCTGTATTAATAAGTGTACTAAATATGACTATAAATTCTACAAATATTTAATTGATTCCTTTAGCATATCAGAGCCAAATTTATATAATTAAGCATGTTTAGTCTGCTAATTTGAGCACTACAAAAATCCGTAATGCCATCTCCATTCCAATATGGTTACTTCCTATCAATATGTAAAAAAAAAATTAAGTCTTTTTTGTTGGGATGTTTTTTGTTTAAAAGTGAGTAAAGATCTTGAATGTCTCATCTTAAAGCACCCTTTTTTGTTGCAGATCTTCCCACGAAGAGGAAGAAAGCGAAGAAGTCTGTCAAGTTCCAGGGAGTCACCGTGTTTTACTTCCCTCGGATTCAGGGCTTCACCTGTATCCCCAGTGAAGGGGGATCAACTCTGGGTAATTTGTGATCACTAAAAAAATATTTACTGTTATTTTTTGTTTCATGTGCAAGGTATTTTGAGTAAGAAGTGATTGAATCATTATGTTCATTAAATTAAAAGTAATTTCAAGATACTATAATCACAATATTTTTGAAACACTTATTTTCAAGATTATTAAAAGTGCATGTGTATCAATGTGCTCAACATGATCAAGTATGAATTTTTCATAAGCATATGGTCTGCTGCCATTTTTAGGAGACAAAGTCTTCACTAAGACAAGGTTGTGAAAAGATATCAGAACCCCAAGCTGTGAGAGAGATACAGCAAACAATATGTTAAAAAATATTTTAAAGTAAAAAATAATTGAAATCTCTTTTGTTTTTCCAGGGATGTCAGACAAACATCTTTACAAAAAAGACTTTTCTTACAAGAACACTCGGAACAAAAGAGAATTCACAAGTTATTCTTGGAGGAGCCAGAAGCGACAGGGGAAGATCATTCCTGACTTTCTGATGGAGGACACGGGAGTAGTGAGGAAGAGACTCAGACTATGAAGAATCTGACGACTATTATTTCCTACAACCGCTGTCTATAAAACAGAGGCGAGTCACACTGAAGCAGTCAGGTGTGAAAAAAATTGATAGTACCGAGAAAGATTTCTGTAAGAAAGTGAGAATTTCTCGTGAATTTTGTGGTTGTGATTGCAATATTTTTTGTGATCCCGAGAGTTGTGCATGCAGTCTGGCAGGCATTAATTGTCAGGTGGACAGACAGTCATTTCCATGTGGATGTTCGAAAGAAGGCTGCGGAAATCCCGTTGGTCGTATAGAGTTTAATCCACTGAGAGTAAAGACTTCATTTCATTCATACTAAAATGAGACTGGAACTTGAAAGGCAGGATAATGATATTCCAGTCTCGGCAAAAGTGGAGAGTTCTAAAGAGGAGGAAGAAAATCCTTCAGAATCCGACATATCTAGTGAAAGCAACTCTCAAAGCATGATTGACTTGAGCGAATTTAATAGCAATGAGCTCGGGAAGTTGCCGGGACTGTCAGAATTGGGAAGTGTGCAATGTGATGATGCAGGAAGTGGAGAATGCAGAAGCCGAGCAACAGAGAGCGGTTATGAATATCTACAGCAACGCTTCACAGCAGATGACGGAAATCTCCCAACACTCTACCCACGAAGTGTCTTAATGTTTAATGACAATGAAAATGACCTTTATCGTTCTGAGAATGGTCCCATATTACCCGTATAAACGAGATGGAAGCTACTCAGGAACGAAGTGTCCCAATAATAATACACCAAACTATGACGAGAGAACAGAGTTTCCCAAACTTATCAGACTCTTTCATCCTATGGCAATTCTGTTGGCTGCGGTACTGTGGGATATTGTGACAATGAGGACAAGACCAAGTCATCGTATCATAAATTGCGATTATTACCCAAAGTTCATCAATGCTGTAAATACCAACAGCCTCGAATACAAAGTCGAATCATCATACTCTGACGTACAACACTTCGATTGGAGACAACATAAAATGATGCAAATTCAGGTGCAACAGAACTCTTTAAACCAGAATGCTTGCAGTTACACAACCATGACAAACACGACTAGTGACAAAATAGCGGAGGCTTGTCCTGGCATCTCCTCACATATCAGTAGCAACAACAACATGGAGCACTCCGCCACGCCCGTTGATGAATATTCCGAGAGTTACAACTGTGAGACCAATAT